CGATTTGTTTTTTCCTAATGTAGATGTAAATAAAATAGCAACGGAGACATAGTAGTATAATTTTCCCCAAGGAGGGCACCAGATCGAAAGGGTGGTGTTTAGCCAAGCACTTGTGGGGTCTAGACAGTTACCTTTTCTCTGTGGAAGTTGGACAGTTAACATAGGACTCAAACCAGGGAACGGGTCACTAACTGAGATCTGCCTGCCTTGGCCAAGATGGTGAATTATCATTGTGCTTTCAGGTCCTGTTGGTTATTTATTTTGTTTAGGGTCAGGCAACTTGGGCTCTGCTCAAGTAGTGAGGTCATGACAGACCACATTGTATATCCATAGGTAACCCGGGAGGAGGTGGAGGAAAACCTCAAGGGTGTGGCTTTAGTCCCTGAGGCCCCCTACACCTGGGAAGTGTGTAGCTGAGCAGAAGGTTGGACGTTGGCCTTGAAAACGAGTCAAAGACAAACCCAAACATTGATTAAAAGTATACCTTTTCAAATTACTGCATGATGTGTATGTTCGACGTGTATCAACAGTCAGGAGCAGAACTAATTTTGAAGCACTCCGAGAGCTCTATCGAGTGTGCAGATGGGTAAGTGCTGGGATTGACAAGTTAATAAATACAGCTTGACAAGTACAGCAAAGGGCGACGGCGGAGGGGGAACCACGCAATTAATTGGCTTGTCACTGTCAACATCTCAATACGATTTTTTAAAATTAGATTGATCCAGGACAGGCTCCAAAGCTATAGAGAAACCTTGTCTTGAAAAACCAAAAATAAATAAACAGAATTTAAAAATAATAATAACAATAATAAAATTAGATTGAGACAGGGTCTCACTTTGTAGTACTGGCTGACCTAAGTAGGTCAAAGCTACGGCCAGTGCCTTAAACCTGAATCATCAAGAGAGCTGAACCTGTTTAGAATCCAAGAGCTGTTTAAAGGAATTCCAGTGGTTTTGTTTCAGACAAATCTCTCAAGCAGGCCGCACAGTTATAGCTCCGCCAGGCCACCAGCGGGAGATTCCCCACTCTGGCCCAGGTAAAAATGGCTTTAGGGTCAGGAGTCCATTAAGCTTGTCCATTAAGCTACCCAGCGATTCCGGTTATCTCTGAAAAGAGCCTTTGGTATTCACCGAAGGGCCCTGAGGGTGGACAAGACCTCCGTACCCGTGACCATCCTTGCTTTGCTGAGTGCCGCATTAGGCACTGTCTTGCGCGGTGATCAGCTCCGCGGCTCACGGACTTCGGACCCCGGCGCGACGGCAAAAAGGGGTGGTGAGGGAGTCGAGCAAGATGCTTGTGGTCCACGTAGATGGAAACAGATGGAGGAAGCAGACCACCAGACATGAATAAACAACTTATAGCGTTAACTATCTGGCCCTATCAAACGGCCGGACCCTCGGGCAACACAAAAGTCCCATTGGCTACTCTATGGTGAATTGTCCAATCAGAAGAGCCCAGGAAGTCACCTCATTTGCATACAACCAGGATTATTATTATTATTTTTAAATAAAAATGTGATATTTTTCCACGCGTTTTCCTCAAGTACCTGTTTCCCCAGTAATCCCTGCTTTTCCAGGTTGGAGACAGGTGATTTTTCTTCTTTGCTAGGATACAAAGTTGTCCACAGGGGAAGGGACCTGTGTCTAGGAAAGATAAAGCAAGCCTTTGCAACCAATGGGAAGGCATGACCCTTCATGATCGATGGGGCATGGTATTGGCCTTGGCTCTGTAATCAGAGGCCACCATACACCCCTAAAATCCCTTCCTCAGACCAGAAAACAGAAAGCCTCTCTGCACCTGCAGCTTTCGGGGGACAGTTCAAAGTGAAAACACAGGGCAGCATATCCCGAGAGTTGCTCGTGTCCTTTAGAACTGAGGTCTAAGGACAGGGAATGGAATTTTAGAACCTAATAGTCAGAACACCAGCCTCCACATTTATGAAAGTAACCACAGGAACTCAGATGCTGCCCCTGCAAAACGGGAAAAAAATACTTGTCTTGTGACAACCCACAGCCCATATCTGATCCCTGTACGCCTGTCCACGAGGCCCTTGTAGCTATCATAGCACAATAAAATTTGCCTGCCCTTGCATAGACTCCACCAGCTCCCGAAATGCAATCTTACTAAAACCAAAGAAACAAAACAAACAAAAAACCCGACTATTTGTTCTGTGAGAGTTTAAGCCTGGTTGGCCTGTGTACTGTATCAATGGTGGTGTTTCACTTGCTATTTTGCTTCTAAAGTCTTGTCTCCTAGAAATTCCTCAACAGCACATTCCTTTTCATAAATGGCAGTTTAACAGAGAATCCTTGTTCCAACTCAATTATCTATCTCCCAGTTAAATTTCCCTTATGGAAATAAAGCACCTCACGTGGGCATCAAGTGGCATAAAACCTGTGGAAGCCGCCCTGTCCCTTGATTTTTAACAGTCTTCTGGTTATTTGAGGTTTTCCACTCTAGAAAACTAGGTGGGCATGAGAAAGGCCATTGAACTGACCTGCCTGGTGACAGCTGCCGCCAGCCCTCACTTCACTATCAAGTGGTTAGAACAGAGGAGTCACAGTCAGTTTTCCCTGACAAATGCCAGACATTTGGCCCAGACCCTCACAGAAGTCCCCAAAGGGAGTTAAGAACTTCATCTGCTGGGGAGGTGCTGCCAGAGAACCCCGAGATCAAGGCCCAACCAAATGACTTGCATGTTGGAATAGTCAGCCTGTTCATCTATGGATCCAGCTAGAGGGGGAAATACCAGAAACACACACACCAAGCCCCTGATCTATAGTGCATTCTGTACTTTTGACCTCACCATTTCCTCTAGCCACATAAAACTAGTTCACAGTATTCTTCCACTCAACACGACAGTACTGTTGCAGAAATCCCAAGCAAGGTCTGGATGTGCCTTAAGACCTGGCCGTCTTCCGTCTGGGAAAGGTCCTAGCAAGAACAACAAAAACACTTTCTGCTGCTTCTCCCTGCTGCTGGTGTGTGAGTGGATGGCGGGGCAGGGAGGAGGGGTTCATAAGATTGTTCCACATAGTCATTAAACTAATGACAATCACCCTGCCTCAGCTTCTTGAGTGGCTTTAAAAAAACAAAACAAAACAAAAACAACCAGGGTTTCACCATGTAGCTTTGCCTGGCCTGGAACTCACTCTGTAGACCAGGCTGGCCTCAAACTCACAGAGATCCACCTGCCTTTGCCTCCCAACTGCTGGGATTAAAGGTGTGTGCCTCCATGCTCAGTGTCTTTTGGAAACTGGTATTCTCTTCATTCCCCACATCCCAAACTTGTGCATTTCCCATCCCACAAGCAAACACCCCCCCTAGATTCCCGATGTCTAACATGGTCTCCAAGCAAATCCAACCTGGAGCCTACGGATCAGGTGCAGACAAAGGATACCTATGAAATCAATGCAGTCCACCACCAAACTGGACTTATCTTTGTAGACAAGTGCAGAAGGATGGACATACCTTTACAGGCTGTGTACACACTTTAATTTAGCTGTTTTTTACTTACCATGGTACCTTGAAGCCCCACTCACGTGAAACATGTCCAGTTCATCTCTTCTGTCTCATGGGCTCTACCCTCCACGACCTTCCACCTCCCTAGCAAAGGAACCCCAGCGGCCTGTCTTGTAATGGCGTGGTAAGTAAAGTATACATTAACTTGAGGACCTGGGAAGGGATGTCCTTGGGTCACCATGCCTCTAAATCTGTCAAGTTCTTGAGAGCTGACATTCACCCAGCAGTAGTGGCAGGGAGCAGAGCATGTCATCCTTGGGATTCTGCCTTTAGGCTTCTGCTATGACATTGTGAGATCTCTACTCCAAATGGCGGCATTAGAAGGTCAGACCTTGGGAGGTGATATGGTAAAAAAGGGCAGAGCCTCACAAATAGGATTAGTGCTCTATTGGGTACCCTAGAGACCTTTCATGTGTGTGCGTGTTGTTTTGTTCTTAGAGACAAGGTTTCACTGTGTAGCCCTGGCTGTCCTGGAACCCACTCTGTAGACCAGACTGGCCTCGAACTCGAGAGATCCACCTTTCATTCTTTCTTCCCTGTGAACGCACAGGAAGGGCATCTATATGAACTAGAACTAGGAAGCAGGCCTCACCAGATAAGGAATCTGCCACCAGACCTGATTCAGCGCCCTCAATGGGGCAAGAGAAAAAAGCTGGCCAGTGCCAGAAAGGACCCAGAGGGACAGCAGATTCCTCTCCAATGAAAAGAAGCCAGTGAAAGATCTTGTGGGTCTTGGTGCTGAGGTGCTCAGAGATTCAAATTCGGGAGGTGACCAGGGTTATAGAGGGCAGGGGGAAGTGTCCTATGTGGCAGTCATTAGAGCGATGTGGACTGTACGTGTGAATTCAGGTTACTAACCAGCAAGCAGAGCTGCAGTGCAAACCTGAGGTGTTCTCAACCGAAGACTGCATTTCACACATCTGCTGGGAGCCACAGGGGCAGGAGAGGGACGGTGTCTGAGACATGGGTGGACAGTCCAGTGTCACTGGATTAGTCTAATTTCCATTTTTGTCATCAACAGAGGTCACAGTATGTCGAAAAGGGGCACACTATTCAGGGCTACGCTCTCACTGCCACCTGCACCTCTGCTCCTGCCTTCCTGTTCTTCCCTGGCACTCGGGAAGCTCTTCTGCCTGCAGGGAAGGTCCATCCTGGGCATCCAGTCTGTTATCTTCTAGCCCTGGAGGCATCTGCTCACCTGGCCAGCCCTTGGCAGGACCCGGTCAGGTGGACTAAGCCAGAGTCCCATGGCATGATGTCTCCTCTTGGCCCTTCTAGCCACTGGTGGATTCTGCTTCCTGGATGCAATTCCCACAATCAACACTGGGTTCAAAGTGACACCTGACTTCTCTCCCCGACTGTCTCAGTGACAATCTGCTTCTCTTGCTTTCACAAGTATCAAAGACCCTGGAAGGTGGCCAGGAGCGGAGGTTAGCCAGTGTGTGGACAGAGCCCGGGAGGTATGGAAACAGAGAGGCTGGAGCAAACCACTTTATTCAGCACTGAGAACCCAGCCTACCTGGGAGTCAAGCTGGAGCCAGTCACTACACCCCAGGCCGGGGCCTTCTGAGGACAGAACACCGCTACCCCCGAACCTACACAGGTCTGTGTCTTTGGCCCCTGGTCTGTCTGTCCACTCTGCTGGGTTGGTTTCTTGGACTAGTTATCTACACACACAATGCTGCAGGCAACCACGCTACCGCTACGCCACGAGTTTTGTGAAATTCACCTACTGGAGAAAATATGAGGTGAGAAAAAGCCAAAAACACAGCCAAGAAAAGAACCAGGTGGCTTGGAGACGCCAGCCCTGCTGCTCTTCTGCAGCGAGGAAGGTCCCTTCCATGAGAGGTGGGTAACAATAGGGAGCACTTTGGGGATGCCAGTGACACCCAAGGGGCACAAGCCAGGACGAAAGAGGCTAAGAAAGCAAAGCAGAAGACAGCTCCCAGGATCTAGCACAGCAAGACCCAAAGGGAAGGAGCAGTCCTCCAGAGGGTGGAGAATGCTTTATTTTCTTTTTCCCAGCCATACCTTGGGGCCTCCTGCATGTCTATTCCCTGGCACTAACACAAGCTGACTATAACTGGCATGTCCTAGAGCCTTGTTGAGGAATGTCTGGTGAGTCAACCCTGCACCAATGGGGAAGGTGCAAGATTTTGTTCCTGGATACGAGAGTGACATCGCCACACTAGGCCCTAAGCTGTAGCTAAACAAGAAGCAGGGCCTTCAGAGTTCTCCAGTGGTCTCTGGCAGGGTTGGGACAGACTGGGAAGGAAATCCCAGGACTGGTCTCTACTAGAAACAGGTACAGGCCTGAGCAGCACATTCATGCCCCAAAGAAAATTAAAAACACTGCTGAGAAATGGAACTATATGGATGATCAAAAGCGGGGCACCTCTGACACTTCATCCAGGACCGCCATGCTGTCTGTGTTGACGGAGATGGGACCTGTCCAGGATGAAGGGTGGTGTCAGGCAGAGAGGCCTGAAAGATGTAGGTAGGGGTGCTGCAGGCCAGCTGTGGAGGGTGGTTCCTTCTGCCTCATGCTCCAGGGTGCCAGCCTGCTGTGCAAGCATCATCACTGCAGGAAAAGGGAGAGGCAGAGACAAAAGGGAAAGACAGTGAGACACAGACGGGCAATACAGGGACAAAGGTGACAACAAGACAGAAATACACAGAGAGAGACCGAAAAGGCAGTAAGACGGACTACTGCTCCCCTGAGCACAACACACCTAGAATCAAGGTGACTTGACAGCCCATCTAGAATGGGTTCAAAGCCTGTGCCTCCAAGGCTATATAGCACCCACTACTCCCAGAACTGCAGAACCCCCAAACAGCTAATGGGTATGTGGAACGGGGGCTATCTCAGCTACGGGTGGCTGCTGATGCCACATTACAAGCCCAGGCTCAGACTGCCAAGTGGGCTGCCTCGGGCCTCAGGTGTTGGCCCAACCCTTGGGGCAGAAATGAGGATGGGAGAAGACAGAAAAGGTGTCTTGGTTACTACTGCCTCGGAGTCTGAGGGGTGAAAATATCCCTCCCGTGTGAGAACCAGGGTCATCTCAGACCATCAGCACAAAGTTCCTTCCTACCACTTTCCCAGCCACCTACTCATTCCCTGTCCTTCAGACCTAGGCCACAGTAGGGGCAAGGTAGGCCGCAGCTCCAACCTTTCCCTAGGGTAGTCTCCCTTTACTGGGGCTCTGAACTGGCCAGAGAACTGTGATGTGGAGAGGTGCTCACCCCCACCCAGGTGGTACCTGCAAAAGCATGCTAAGGCCCAGGTTACGGTGCTTCTTCTCCAGCTCTGACACAGCCTGCAGGAGGGAGCGGAAGCGGTCTGCCGGGTCAGCCTGCTCCTCATCCTCAGAAGTACCCTCATCTTTCTCAGCCTCCTGCAGAAAGTGCTCCTCCTCTTCCACAAAGAAGGCCCGAAGCTTCTTGTAGTCAGTCAGGGCCTTCTTTCTTCGGTCCATAACATGCCCCTGCAGGGTGAGTGGGAGAAGGGTCAACAGTCCACCTTGGCCCACACCCACCACTACTGTGTCCAAAGAGAACCCCCACCTACTCTGAAAGAAATTAATATGACACCTCAAAATATGCTGGATGAATCTTCTGAACTAAAGCTACTCAAAAAAAAAAAAAAAAAATCACAGGTGAGGGAGGATTCTCTTGCATTGTTTTCCTAAGCAGGAAGTGAAATCTCCACGTGAAAGGCATCCCTGTGGCCCCTCATGGTGGTGTTAGATTGGTCCCAGTGTGGTGAGACGGAGTTGACAGGGTCTTAAAGAGGTGGGGATTGGTTAGGTCACTGATGGGTGTGCCCTTATGCTGGTCTCACAGGCTACCAGCTGGCTCCCAAGGCGGCCATTACAGAGAGAGCGATCCTGGGTCCACACACGTGCACCATGAGGTCCTCACTAGAGACCAGCAGATATAGCCCTGGATCTTTGATGCTCAGCCACTAGAGCCAATAACTCGCCTTCCTTACAGGACGTTCTCTGTCCTGGATAATTTTGCTACGGCAACAGAGAAAGGCTAACTCTCTCCCTGTACAAAGCGAAAGAAATGGCATTCTGACTGAGGAGAGAAGTGGAGGTTGAGAAGATGCTGCACAGACCTTGCTAAAATAATTCTTCTATGCCTCCCAAATTAACCACTTGTCCTCAACCTGCCATTCTCCGTCCAACCCGGTGTATTTGTTGGACTGTGACTGCTTCTTCGGGTTGTTTCCTCATAAGGCCACTCATACCACTTGAGCTTCTACTGAGGCAATGTTTTGTCTCTCTGCACAGTCTTTCATGAGTGGTTCCAGGAAAAGCATCCCCAAGTCACCAAAATGTATTCAAGTCCCTTCTTACAAAACGGCACAGCACTGGCACATAACCTATCTGCATCCGTCCATGTGCTACAGATCATCTCTGGTGGACAAAATGTAGCTGACACCATAAATACTTTCTAAACAGTCACTCTACAACCATACAACCACAGGCCTACCGTCTACTTGTGGTGCTTGCTTAGCGTGGCTATACTCAAGAGCCTCTCACATGCTGGACAAGCATTCCATCAATCAGTCACGTTCCCATTTCCCAGCAGAAGTCTGTTGAGTCCTTGGACATAGAACCCACATACACACTGCTCAGGTTATGTGAAGACCCCACTCACAACTTCCCAAAGATGAACTCTGGGACCAAAGTCCTGTCAGAATGCACAGCGACCTTCCACCAGCCTTTTTCCCAAAGATAGCCTCTGGTAAATCCAAGAGCAAAAGAACCCATCCTGCCACCCTCAGCAACACTTCAGACAACAGAACTAAAGAAAAAGACACCCTCCTAACTTTACTCAAGATCTTCATCCTGGCCCTGGACCACACAACACAAGAGACAGCCACGCTCCTGAGGAAGAATGCTTTTGCTGAAAAAGCTGTAAATGCTAACCAGGTAACTGCTTTCTGGCCAAGCTCCTCCCTCTGATCGCAAGATCCTCATCTTTGTATTAAAACCTCTACATGCTAGAACTTGTCCTTGGAATGACTGTGGGCTCCTAGGAAGCTGGACATCCTCAAATCCTTCCAGTTTTTGTGAGGGGTAGAGTAAACAGCTTCAGCCTTGAGGTGCAGCCCATCTGAGAGCTCCAGGCCTTCTGTAACTCTACAAAAAACACTTTGGTTTTATGTTCTTAAAAAAAAAAACAGAGGGGAGGATGTGGAAACTCAGGAATATCAATATATACAAGGAAAAGTCACCAGAGTTTAAATCAATGTTTGATTTTGTTGACAAGTAACCTTTAAAAACTATAACACGGGGGGCTGGGGAGAAGGCGCAGAGGTTAAGAGCATTGACTGTTCTTCCCAGAGGTCCTGAGTTCAATTCCCAACAAACATACGGCAGCTCACAACCATTTATAGTGAGATATGTTGTCCTCCACTGCCATGCAGGCAAACATGCAGGCATAACACTGTACATATAATAAAAAATAAACCTTTAAAAAAAAAAACAGCTGTACCATGTTGTCACCTAGGTGTTGAATGTCATGGAAGGCACAAGAGGATGGCAAGCTGGTAAGTACCAACTTTCTGTGTCCCTCCCCCCAGTCCCTGTGCTGAAACCTCCAGGCGATGGGGTTAAAAGTGGTGGGCCTTTGGGAGGTAGTCAGTCCTACCAAAGTAGAGAAAGGATCATGCCCTAGTAAAAGGGACCCCCCAGAAAGCTCCTGCCCCACCCTCCAGGTGATGATACAGTAAGAAAGGCCACCAGAAAATAGCCCTGACCAGATATGGGCTTGCCATGGCTTGCCTGGGACTTCCAGCCTCCAGAGCAATAACTGTCTGTGGTGGCTTTGTATGACAGCCAGAAAACAGCAAGTTCCACTGGGGTTGGCCAGAATCAAGAGTACTAAGTGTCCTGTGCAGAAAAGAAAGGCGAAGCTCACAAACCACCCTCACATAAAGAGGTTCTCTGCTGACTTCTGGCTAGACTGTGTCCTAGAAGAGTATCCTGGCATTCAGTAAGTCCACACAGAAGCCCCTCCTCCGGACAGCCAGGCAAACAGCAGTTCAGTTTGGTTGCCCTGCTCCATATCCAGGAGACCCCACTTGCCTTCCACACAGCAGCCGCTGATTCTGCCTGACCATGCAGGTCCCGGGCATCATTTAAGTCCTTCCTCATGATTTCCACGGACCCCTTGTTCTCCTGGGAGAGAGAAACTGGTTATAGACTAGAAAGGACTTGGACTGGACCAGCAGTCCAGACCTTGGCTGCTGGAAATCGTTTGTTTAAAATAAAAGGGTCTCCTGCGCTTCCCTTTGTCTGATCTAGGCACACAGCAGACAATTCCAGGTTTGCTGTGTGATTCCACCTTTAAAATGGGTCCCCTTTTGTGTCAGCTTGATCCAGACAATGGCGTTCCTGACTGTGCCCTACTTGGTCTCTGTGGTCTTGCTGGCTTAGGAAAGGGTCAACAAACCGCAAGACAACCAGAGCAGCATGTTCTGGCAGAGTACCTACCCCAGGTTGGGACCCGGATGTAACCCACTGGCCCCCACCTCAACACTGTTCATTATTAATTCGTGACTAAATCCTATTCTGGGGCTCATGGTGCATCATTCCAGAACACAGAGCTAACAGCACCGTCAAACACACAAAGCTAGTGGTTTCTCCTGCGGGGCAGAGACCAGGCATCGCTCTTTTCCTACCTGGCTACTCTGGGCCAGGGATGACACTCCGGACTCCTGGGTTCCAGCTTTGCCCAGATCGTAATGGGCGGTTTCTACCCAATGGCAAGAGCCACATGCAATGACCAAGAGAGCACAGCAGAGAAGGTTCCAGAATGAGGTGGATCGGCAGTCCCTCAGAGGGCTGCAAGCAGTAAACTAGCAGACATAAGTCCACACTCAGGTAACCAGCAAGTAGATGGGCGGGGCTTGCCTCAATGAGGTCACACCCGGATTGGAGGAGGGAGGCCTTGGGGAATGGGAAGTGGGACTTGAGAGGAAATGGGGAGGGGGAAGAAGGGGAAAGAGGGAGAGGGGAAGAGAGAGGTGTCTAAAGGCGGTATAGAGATAAGGAACAGGTAGACCAGAGACCTGGGACAGAAGAGCATGCTCTAGAGATGAGCGATTGAGGATCACAGCAGGGTCCGGGAGAGAGAGAACAGAGATCAGGGAGGACAGAACTCACGGACTCGATGATTCAAGAACACTAGGCACGGCAGGGACCCCCGGGGTAGGGAAGGTGCAGGGCTGATGGGCACCGCGGAGACTCGGGGTGGGGAGAATGCTGGACACCCATGGCATGCGGGAGAGGGAAGAGGTCAGCGCACAGATCGAGAGAGACTGACTCCAGGTGAGTAAGGCACAAAGGTGGGCAGTGTGCGGGGTCGCCTCGCGCACCTTGCCGCGCAGCGCCTTCCTCCAGCGCGGCTCCCACTCGGGCGGCTCCGGGCCCGCGGCCATGCGGCAGGCAGAGCATAGCGGATCTCCGTCTGCACGGCACAGCAGCTGCAGCGCGGCCTCGCTGGC